TTATGTAGTAGGTGGGATAGACATTAAGAAGGAACAAAATAATTATCATGAAATTAAATGAAAATAGTCCTCATGAGACTGTTTAGTCACATTTTGTGTGAATGTTACGAATCTGACACTTTTCCACAGACACTTTGGTGACCCATGACTTTTTTAGAGGTATAAACCCCATGTGGCTTTACAGTGAGCACTATCGCTAGCACTAGATATGACTAACATAGTTCAACTATCACTAACGTTTTCAGTTCTGAAACTTACAGGATATTCTTATATTATGATGACCTCTTAGATGTCAAAAGCTCAAGGAAAATTTGATTTCTCAGTTCATCACCCCTTTAAAGTTTTTTAACATTGTTTTAATGAATGAATTTGCTATGGTTATAATTATAGCAAAATTAATAAAGATTTCTAAAGTTATACAAAACATAAAATATGGAAGAGTTTATCAAGTTTACCAAGATACTAAGTGAGATAAATTTAGGCATTCTTTGGTAAATTTTAATCCATTGTTGTTTTTATGGCTAGAAAATGACAAATACACAAATTAGTGTTTTTATATAGCCTACATTTAATTTTTGATAACAGTCAAGAGTTGAAAAAAGTTGACTAAAAATGAAAGAAATACATTAAATGTTGTATTAATATAAAAAGAATGGAAAATAAAACATAAAAATATATAGGCTAATACATTATATTTTATTTACAGCTGTAACCTCAAGATGTTTTCTAAAGGTCAACTTGAGATTTTTTTGAAGGTTATGCAAGAAAGAAAAAAATATTTTCATCTATCTATCCAAATGATGGAAAGATGAACAAACAGTCAACACAACTTGGACTGTTGGACATGAGCCAAATATGATTGTGATCTTTGACAGTTTATAATAACTGTGACTGTGAACCATTAGATTTTATCAGTGTACGTAGGCCGAGTAAATGCTCTGCTTGCGAGTGACGTCACAACAACACATTTTGTGCTTCTTTAATGTTTGATCCAAACAGCAAACACTTTGATCTGTGTTTAGAGATGCAGACCTGTAATTACAGGATGATCATGCAGCTGGCAAAGGAAGTCCATTTCACCAAACACACTGTCTAAAGTCATTATATATGTACTTATATGTACTTATATGTACAAGCACCCACTTTACATTGACACTCTAAAATCCCATATAAGTCAAATTTGATTGCCATTTCAGTAATTCAAGGTGTGGGAAGAATGAACAGTTTCCTCGGAAACTATGGTGCAGACATTAAAACGCTATACGTATGCTGGAGCATTTCACAAATGATACTGTCACAATGATGTCACCTTAGGCTATATTGTAACTGTAATGGTTCTTTGTCAGCAAAGTCTCATAAGTCAAATAGCAAACAGCAAAAAGTAATGATGAAATTGCTCATTCGAAATGCTGAGCTTGTCGTCTTCATTAGCACAAATTCAGGGAGATCTCAAACACAGGAAAGAAAAATCACAAATGAGACCTCTTTAACATCTCAGCTGAGCATCGCAAACAGCAATGACAAATGGAGAGTCTCCTGCTTCTGAGAAAAAGAACCTATTCATCTCATAGTTTTTTCCTTGCAGAGATCTCAACAGTGTCTCATTCAATGCTCAGATCTGTCAAAAGCCAGACATTCAATATGATCTCATCTCATACATTTGTATAGCTCTATAATCTCACTCCTCTCAACAACTGTCTCATTTGTGTCTGTTTTTATTTTCTTAAAATGATTTTTATGAGCAAGACAAGACAAAATGATATAAATAAGACCTAAATAACATTTACAGTTAAATGTTTTTCCTTTAGCCAACAAATGAGTAACATAACAGCGATTTGTTACAGAGCCAACAATAATCATAGTACTCAATGCCAGGTTTATAGAGTGCTGCAGGGATGACGTATTTCTGCAGACAAAATCCTGTAAACGAGTTAGCATTTTAACACATTTCTGGTTTCATCGTCCATGGATTTAAATCTCCGAGATAAGATCTATATTCTACAACATAAAATACATCAGTAATACCACCTTCTGATCTGAGAAAAAAAAAAAAACTTTTACTTGACCCGAAAAAGGCAGATGCTAACAAGTTAAATGGAGTACAGAGGTTATAAGTGACATTAAACAGGTAAACTCACTCTCTTTCACAACCTTGTGTGTTTAATTGTGCTTAACTCAAACTTTGTTAGTCAGGGGGATGAAGACTGAAAGAGTTGGCTTGATGGTATTGTTGAAGTCATGCAACCGTCACCATGGTGTAATTTGTTTTATAGCCTATGTTGCAAGTATTTATAGGCTTCAAACTTCATAAAAGTTGTATTCAATTGTGAAGATTACCAAGATGAACAAAATGTACAAGGAATCATAAAATTTGTTCTTCACATAGCCTATCCAATAACCCAAAAGCCATTGGAATTGTATTTTTGGGTGATGGTAAATAATTTTTCTAAAATGACCAACTCACCAGAACGGTTCACCTGGTGCTGTAACGGCATGCCTCATTACATTAAAACTACTTCAAACACCCCAACTCCACCAAAGACACATAATTCTCCTCACTTTTGCTAGATGATTCCTTAAACCAATCCAAAATGTTGCTGTCTGAGATGTTTTTAATCTCAGCAAATTATCATCCATCTGCTCTGGTTTCTCCATTGGTTTCCCTGAACAGTGAGGGACAGATTCAACATGTTATTTCTGGCCTAAAGGTTGTGATTTATTCTATGACTTTAGCAATCAGCTGCATTTAGTCAACTAGGTGGCCAACTGTCCGCTATAGTTCTGCTAAAAATTGTCAGTTTGCCCTTATAAAAAAACACTTTTACACTGAATACCTTAATTAAAATGCAAAAATACCTTGCCATATAGGTCAACATGTAATGTGAGGGGTGGAGTCCGGCATTCTACTAGTCCCAGCTTGAGACAGCAGGCCAACAGACCGACCGCAGTCCTCTCACTGACTTCCTAATGCATATTTCATATGTGATTGGCTGGTTTTATGATAGCTTTGGCTTTAACCAGTCTCCTCCCTTTATTTTTGCTTCTGAAATAATCTGGATGGAAATTTTGATTATAAAGTTTCCACATTTCCATTCATTATGGGGGTGTTTTTAGTACAGCTGGTCACAGACCACCAATTTTAAATGAATGAGGTTTTTTTCTATGCCTGTCTGTTGTTATTTCACTATTAAATTTCGCTAATTGTTATTGCATGTGAACTATTTCACATGAATTCACTGCTAAATGGGTAAAACAATTGAAACTGTGGTTTATGCTACATGAGGTCAGTCATATGGTGTCTTCTTTTGGGCAGTTCTTTGCTATCACAATAATGCTCTATCTATCTTCTGATTCAGTGTGGTTAGAAAATCTGACAGATGTAATATAAATGACAATGCATCTGAACGAGACATTCAAATTTGTTTCATAACTCTTTCTTCTTTTAAAGCACTGACATTCGAAATCCCTGGATGGTTAAATATCCTCAAAGCTGACTTTATAAGCTGACAGGGCAGACTAATAATATATGCTGCTCTTCGCCTTTAATGTTCATAAAAATGCATAGGCTACTAACATTTTAGTAAAATTACATACTGTACTTTTTAGTATTCTGGGTCCATTCTGAGTGAATCAGAAGTTATTTAATTTGTCTTGGAAAGACACATAAATGGATGTAAACTGAAAACAGAATAGTGAAAACCACTAGAGAAAAAGAAGGAGAATGTTAAAAGCTAGAGGCATATTGTACATGCCTTGAGTTGCTTGAAAATGGGTTTCGGTTTTTCCTCAGTCCGACATCTGAGCATTCAATCTCGCTAAAAGCTCAGCACAACAAAGGACAGCATGACAGAATTAACTGATAGAGTCTGTGTGTGCCAAAATATATTAATAAAGAAACAAATAAATGCATTAATAAATATGTTAGACAGATAATGTACAGTATTGAAAGCTAAATTGCTGAACACTGCAGAGAAATGGCGTACTGTCCAAACATGAACCAAAACTGCTTATGTGGAGCACTCTTCCCAGATTGCTAATTAGAGGTGAAGTCTGTTTGCTATTAGCCTACATAAAAAAGGACAGCACAAACTCATTATATGTGTCATAAATTCTCAAGCTGTAAGGCAAAATAAACATGAGTTGATAATCTGTGATGCTGAAGAGGACATTTTGACTGAGCAGGACAGATGAGGTTCTAATGAGCAGGATTATCACATCTCATAGCATGGACATAAATTAGCATATGCAAAACCCTCTTGAATTGGAATTTTTTTGTGTGAATCTTGTCCTTCAAAGTAACTCAATGTTTGTTTGCTTTATTGGCTGAATAAGTAAACACAAAAAATACACACTGACATAAATTCGGACAAGAGTCAACTGCAGTAAGTAATGAATATAGGCCTATAGATTTTAACTAATAGGTTGAACTGCTTTTTATAAACATACATTGGGAAAGCTGTCGTGTTTGAAATGTTAAACCACATTTTTTTTTAAATAATGGCCACAATAATATTTTTCTTTCCTTTGTTCATTTGTTTCATCAGATATTTAATGAATTGTTTCATTGTTTAAATAAAGGCTTATTAATGACAGGCTATTGTGACAACTTATCCCATAAAAGTTCAATGCAACAGAACAACAATAGAGTTTGTCTTTGACTCAACAAAAACAGCTTCATCTCTTCACTAGTTCTTCCCTGGAGGACTCTAAATCATAGGGTACTTTATTTAATTGCTGGCCAGCATATTCTGAGAAGTCAAAATGTTTTATACTTCGGAATAAATTAACTTATTTCAAAGTGCTGCTGAACTGGGCAATTTAGAAAGAACATCTCATACCGTCGTTAAAAATCCTTTGATAAACGGTTTTATGATTCTGTTTCCCCTTCGATCAAGTGGATTTCATTAAAACCATCAAATTCTAAATGCATATATATGTGTCTCGACATGTTTAACACCACCAGAAACATGCAGGTCGGATTTAATTAGCAAAACACTCACCTGTAAAGATGAAAAAAGCTAGTTTTAAGAAAGTTTGTCGAGTAAGATAATCCATGACTCCTTAAAAAGGATCCTGGAGATAAAGTAGGCTACTGTTAGCCTAATCTCCGCTCAATTTTATTCCTGGCGCGGGAAAAAAAGCTCAATAATAACAGATAAAACGCCTTTCCAAAACTATCCAATTCAGTCTCGCGGTTCCTGCTTCTCGTGCCTTAGAGCCGCTGTGATTCATTATGATGCTGATGCTGCTGCTGTAGCGTCTCTCTCTCTCTCTCTCTCTCTCTCTCTCTCTCTCTCTCTCTCTCTCTCTCTCTCTCTCTCTCTCTCTCTCTCTCTCTCTCTCTCTCTCTCTCTCTCTCTCTCTCTCTCTTGCTACTAAAGCCTAATGCTTGTTAGTCACGGTAGGTCTCGTATGGTCCATTTGGGTTAAAGGCGCACCTATTTAAAAAAACAAAAAACAAATTACAAAACGAAATGAACTGGGATTTAATTACAATGTATGAAATTATTTATAGTACATTCACATACGGTAGGCTATAGGCTAGGCCTATCATTATTTATAGTACATTCACATACGGTAGGCTATAGGCTAGGCGGCCTATCAGTATTCTAGCATTTAGCATTTAACATCGCCATGTTGACGTCACATGACAAGCTGCGTGATTGGCGTATTAGTTACTACTACTAAGCTACTACTACTACCACCACTACTACTACTACTACTACTACTACTACTACTAAGAATAAGATAAACATTAACTTCAGGGATAACCAATAGGCCTACACACTTATTAATATTAATAAATCCGTTCATCCTTTCTCAAAGCAAACAAATAAATAACCAATATATATTAGACATGATCTTCCACTATTGTGTTATCTAAGTCTTTTGTAACAAACATGATTGTGAACAGCTCAAATAAATAAATAAATTGAAACAAAAAATAAAACTGGCTATTAACAGCAAGTGCTGTTATAAAAATGGGGGGTTATTGTGTTTCTCTGTCATGTGATGCAGCATGTGTTTGACATGAGTTTCTAATATAGAGTTTAGATTCGCCTGTCATCTCAGAATAATGATGGGACGTCTAGCATTTAACCTTATTTCAGCAAATAGTTCACTTCCTGTGTTAGACGTTCTGCTGCACATAGCTGACTTATCAAAGGCATTGATATGGTCCCTAAAACCTCATAAACTGTGTTTCTATATTCCTCCGTGGGACACATAAATAGAAAACTAAATGTTGAGATAAAATGTTGTAGCAATAAAAGTATGTTTTGTGATAAAGTTGCCTTAATAATAATTTGGGGAATACCAACAAAGATTAACATAAAAGCATAAATAATGTTTTTTTTTTTTTTTTTTTTTTTTGTATTTTAGTTATAGGTGTCATTTAAAAAATGTCCCGTTATCTATTGCAATTTTTCATATACAGTAAGGGAACTTTACAATCTCTTACTGTTCAAATTACAATAATTTTTACTGTGCAATGTAACACAGTGTCATAAACCGTACTGTATTATTATTATTATTATTAAATGACTGTTAAATTAAATGACTCAGAATCAAACTTTTGTTTCCCCTACTAAAATTCTCATTTATAATACACAAAGAGAATTGAAAATGTAATGTCTGTCAGCAATCCAGCCCGTGTCTAACTGGTCTCTTTTAAAGTTTGATTGCTCTAATTAAAACTGCATGATAAAAAAAAAAAAAAAAAAAGATTTGTCACACAACAGATAATTTAACGGCAAATACAGTTTGATTTGAGTTTTATTGAATTAAACTTTGTAAAGCTTCAGCTATTCTTAGAAACCCCATTCACTTATCTCTGTCCTCTTAAATGGAAAACTAAAGAGAATAGTATGATTCCAAGAAAGGATAGAAAAGAAGAACAGAAAGAGAGTGAACCCAAACATAATAACATAGTCATTCAATTAGATCACATCATGCAGTGTTCCTGTAGCTCAAACAATAGAGCATTATGCTAGCAACACCAATGCCATGGGTTCGATTTCCAGGCAATGCTTAAACTGAAAAGATTTGTAACTGGTTGTTGTGGATAAATATATACCACTTCACATGGTGAATATATACTATGGATTATATATAATTGCATCAATAAATCAATATATAATTTCTAATTTGCCATGTCAAACCTAAAATATTATATTTTAAAAATATTTATCAGATTTTAAATATTATGATATGATATGAGTTTGAGCAAGCGTTCATGTGCATGACAATTAAAAAAGCTAAATTATGTAGCTTTCAGCAATATGCAAAAGATTAAAACGTAGTGCCTCTTTCAGCACATTAAACCACTTACTTACACCAGTAGTGTGCTTCAGATATAGCCTTTGTGTGGAGTATATGCTGAAAGCACTCAATCACTTGACCCTCTCCAAGCCATTTAGCTGCCTGTTATTTACCGCTCAAGGAAAGCAGTAAAGAACCTGACCAAAAATGAAAAAAAAACCTTTCAAGCTTGTCTTTAACCCGATGTTTGTAATGTACAACTGCGGCAGAAGTATCTTCTAGTATTTTGCTATGCTGTATTTTACATTTGACCAGTAAGCTCAATAAGCAAGACTTGTCTTTGAGAATAAAATTAGGATACGTGCTCTCAAGGCACTAAAATGAGCTCATTTTAGACTAGAAACTGCATATTTGTTATTGTAATTCCAAATGTATTTTCTAAAGTTTTTTATTGACATTTTTTTCCATGCACATTTTAGGAAAACAATCATTCAAAGACTAAAAAATGTGTGCGTCATGCATAAATGACCTCATGGGACAGATTTTATATAGCTGGAACTATTGTTTAACCCTGGCAGGCAGTATAAAAACCTTTATAACTGTGTTTTAGGTTGAAGTTAGTAAGTTTTGGAAGACTGAGGGTATTCAGTATTTCAGAGGATATTGGTGATGGTGAGAGCAAAGTGTTTAGGAAATGAGATTATAAAAAGTTGAGAATAGAAGCAGTGAGGGCAGAGATGAAGAATATATACATCATCAAAACAGTTTGGAAGATGTGATCCAAACTACAACCAGAGGTAACAAAAAAAAAAGAAAAAAAGATGCCAATGTCTATTATAATTGACAACAGATAAGCAGGGATGCTCCAAAAATGATAAAATCATTTATTTTGTCAAGCTATAAAGTCACTATTAGTCCCAAATCCGTTTTTTTAACTATATTTGCCCTAAAGGGTTTGGCAATAAGAATTGTATGCAATACAGTTTCCTTGTTTGTAATAAGGCTGAATCATCCCTCTCAGGTCAGCTATTAAATTTGATCCCCTCCCAATGATTGTAAAGCCAGCCTTGGGCTGCCATATCACAAGAAAAACTCTCCATGAACATCAGTCAACAGAGAAGCCTGAAATGGTTTCATGTCCTTTCCATATTTGATCTAGAGAGAAAATGTTCACACTTGAGAAAATAACATAATGTATTTTATATGGAGACAAAGTGCATGCACTGACATTTCATATGAAAGCATGTGTCTGCTTATACTTCAAAATTTTACTTCTGCCACAGATCTGCTCTCATAAATAACACTTTATTGTGATTTTAATCCTGGACGTTCTGAAGAAGAATATCAGAATTTTTCCTGTTGTTCTACAACATAAATTACCCAGTTATTTCAACCCGATCTCACGACCAAGTCGTACGAATTCGACGAATGATTACAAAGTGGCTAATTCGTAACAATTCATACGACCTCACTCGTACGAATTAATACGATTTTGCTAAATCGTACATATTTTACGAATTGGCCAATTCGTATGAATTCGTACGAATGACCTACCCCTTACCCCGCCCCTAAACCTAACCATCACGTGGGTTTAGACAAATCGTACGAATTAGTACGAGTGAGGTCGTACGAATTAGCCACTTTTTAATCATGCGTCGAATTCGTACGAATTGGTCGTGAGATAGTGTTGTATCCGGAATTATTCACCCCCCATTGCAAATCATCAGTTTTATTGGCAAAATTGACATATTTTCTGCTGTTTGCAATGAACAAATCAAACTAAAGTATTTGAAATGGCTCAACACAACAAATGTTTCAAGTGGTTTCCCCAAAATCAACTGAAAAAGCAGTCTAAAAAATTACTCAACCCCTTCATGGCAAGCATCGTTATTTAGTAGAACACCCTTTTTGGTGTCATGACCTGCTGCAAATGAGAAGTATAACCAGACACCAGCTTCTGGCAGCGTTCCTGAGGAATCTTAGCCCATTCCTCATGAGCAATGGCCTCCAGTATAGTAATATCCTTGGGTTTACGGACTGCGCGCCTTCTTCAAATCCTATCAGAGATTTTCTAGGATTCAAGTCAGGTGACTGTGATGGCCAGTGTAGAATCTTCCAGAACTTCTTGTGCAACCAAGCCTTGGTGGAATTTGAGGTATGTTTGGGATTGTGTCCTGTTGGAAGGTCCAATGATGCCCAAGCTTCGGCTTCCTCACTGACGGCATGAGGTTTTCTCCTAGGATTTCCTGACACTTCAATTAATCCATCTTCCACACACTGCAGATTTCCAGTGTCAGAGGATACAAACCATGCCTAACTGTAGTCAGAGAGTTCTTTTCATCATGCTTCATCTTTTTCCTCCAGACATACCACCGAAAAGTTCCAGTTTTGTTTTATCGCTCCACAGAACAGAATCCCAAAGCCTCTGTGGCTTATGTTTATGATTTTGAGTAAATGGGAGTCAACTTTTCTTGTGCTTTTAGGTCAGTGGGGTGTACGTTTTAGAGTTCTGGCATGCGTTTAGGATACTCCTTACTGTGCAAGCTGAAACATCAGTGCCTGTTGCCATTAAGTCTTGCTCAAAAATCTGGTTGCAGCTATTGATAGCTTCCTTTTTCTGCCCCACCCAGGTAGTGTAACTGCTGTCCCTCTAACTTTGAACTTGTGAATTATGCTTCCAACAGTGTCTTGTTCCTTTTTACTTTTGGTTCCTTCACTATTTTTTTGTATCCTGTTCCTTGATTGTGAAGGAAACTCTTCCCTTAACTTTTTAGACCACTCTTTTGACTTAGCCATATTTATAACATGCAGTCAAACGTGACACTCGACAAAGCTAGCCAGTTCAGAAATGTCATGTGTTCTAGCTCAAGCACACCTGGTGCAAATAATGAAGCCCTTGATTAGTTGCATCAAGTGTGCTAAAGACAACACATTTTTTTGCAGATTTGTGCTGTTGTGAGGGATTCTATTCAAAG